TAACATTTTCAACGTAGTCTATGAATTTTTGAATTTTCGGACAAAGATCACACTGCTCCAAATAATAGTTTTCTGTCGGATTCTTACAAAGAACATAATTTATACAGTCTTTATAATCTTTGAGAGTACCATTAGAGATATTTTCTAGATTAATAGCGTCAATCATCGCTTTGAAGTTTTCATGTATAATACACACGCATACATTATGCGTACTAGCGGATCCTGCGAGTACACACCACCTTGGTCTGAGCTCGGCAAATTTGGTAAGACCAATCGGATATTCAGGAAAATTCTTTTTAAACTCTATGTGAAGATTTTTAATATCATTTAGTAATAATCTTTTTTGTTTTTTTGTCTTTTTATCATCAATACGAACAGTTACAGTATCTTTTTTATTGGACATGATTCTGCTGTTAATATCGTTTTCATAATAATCTATAACTGCTTTTATGGTTTCTGGCGGTAAAGTTTTTCTAGATTTTGCAACTGGAGACGCCAAAATCCCAGCTGATTTTTTTAACTGTTTGGATATACGTGCTTTCCTATAAGATGTATCAAATTCCTCGACAATTCTACGTATATATATATATATATATATATATATCTTTCAGACAAAATAGTGAGTATACTCGTACGTAATGGAAGAGAATTAAATTTGTTTTTAAGTCCAGTTAAAATGTCTTTAAGATCATCAGCAGTATTTGAATCCTCCTCTGCCTCATGTGAGTCAGAAGGAGGCTTACTATCTTGTAATTTGTAACGGGGGCAGCGCCTTATTCGGCACTGACGTCACTAATTTATTAAGGGGAGAGTAAGAGAGGCACTTTCGCTCTTTAACAATCGGGGAACGAGAGGATAGGTCGAACGAATAAATAATTTTCTTTACTTGGAACATACAACTTAAATCTATTCAGACAAACAAATACAAAATCGGTTACAATAAAGTTTACATCACGCGCACATATACAGAACAACTTAAACTAAGGCGAGAGGACGAATGACCCGGCGACTAAATCGCCTTGGCCATTTACCTCCTTACAAAGGAAAGAATACGTCGAAACCTCTCTACCGCATTACGATGAGCGTAGCCGGCAAGTGATCGTCTGGCTATATTAAATACCCCATGAGTCAGTTACGTATATTGGAACCAACAGTGCCAATTACGGGATAATTCCAAATTTGACATTCAATTTATGAATAGCAACTTTAACAATCCCATATACCGAATTTTAGGGCAATCAGTTGATTTTTGAAAATTTCGTCCGCCATATTGGATCCGCCATCTTGAATTTTGTAAATCTGACCCCGGATTTGTGAACATCGACCCTAAAAACCCCCATATATCGAATTTGGTATAAATTTGTTGATTTTTAAAAATTTGTCCGCCATAGTGAATTTCGACCGCCATATTGGAACCGCCATGTTGGATTTTTTCATCCAACTCCAACAGCTAATAAAGGGTATCCCTAAGCTACAATTTGAGCCAAAAAATGACACGATAGGTTTCGCATTTTTCTTTCTGCAAGCTTTTTATGCCTTACACGCGGTTTTTTTCCAGCTTTCGGCCGCCATATTGTAGCCGCCATATTGAATTTTGAATTTCACCGGTAAAATTGTGAAAATTCTTGTCCAAACATACATTTTGATACCTCAAACGTCAAGATCCATAAACACAAATTTTGGGTACGCAGGTGATTCGGTTAACGTGAAACGTCCCATATATATATATATATATATATATATGTTTAATAGCAACAACATTTGCTTGTTATCTCAATACGTGAGGCAGATTGCAAATAAACTTGGAGTAATAAAAAAATTTCTTTAAATAAATAAAAAAACTTCGAAAAACGAGTTTAGAAGCTGATGCAGAAGGTCTTTGCAAATGAGTGTATGAGTAAAATACGAATAAAAGAGTGGTGTAATCGTTTCAAAGGAGTCCGCATTTCTTTTGATAGTGATTCTCGTTCTGGCCATTGAATAATATTGAGCGGGAGCGATTTGCGATCGAACAAGATTGTCGTATGACTGTGTGGGAATAAGAAGATACAAAAATCTATAATTTAGTAACTTTTAACCTCAAATTTACAAATGACACGCGTATGTGCGAAGTTCATTTCGAAATTGCTCAGAACAGAGCAAAAAAAAATTTCGCTTAGAAATCTCTCATGACAACTTAGTAATGGTCGATAATAATGATACTATGCTTAAAAAGGCTATTACTTGTGATAAATCACGGATTTATGAGTATTGAAAAAAAATTAACAGTTTTCATACGAAAAGCACTCTCGATTGCCAAAACAAAAAAAAAGAACGTCAAAGTCGGAGCAATGTTAAGTCAATGATGACTGTTTTTTTAATTGTAAAGATGTTATGTATAACGGAACATGTATCAACAAATCAAACAATCAAGAAAAAATATTACTTTCAAATTTTGAAACGTTTACGTGAAACCATGAGAAGAATATGTACACTCGCACATTTGACCAAGTGATGACTGACTTCTTAGTTACGGTAATGTGCCTGCGCATTTATCAAATCTTGTACGGCAGTTTCTGAGTAAACACAGTATCGCATTGCTTCGGCAACCACCGTACAGTCCCTCCCGACATAGCCTCCTGTTACGAGGGGGGTCAATAAGTCTTTACAAAATTTAAGAGATGTCACTCGTCACGCTTAAATTATGATGTTTTTGGCAAGCAATACTACTAACTGAATATCATACAAAGTTTCAGCTCGATTCATAAAGTCGTTTATTTGTGAGCGTTGGCTGAAAAAAAAGTTATAGGTTTATTTGAAAAATGGAAAAGACAGAGTTTCGAGCGGTGATAAAACATTTTCATTTCAAAGGCCTTACATCAAAAGAAATCACAGTTGAGTTGAACGCCGTTCATGGCAAGTCCGCCCCTGTGTTTAAGACTGTTTATAACTGGGTAAATGAATTTCAACGCGGCCGTACAAGAACAAAATATGAACCTCGTTCAGGACGCCCCGTAGAAGTGAGTACGCCCGAAATGGTCAACAAAATCTACGATATGGCGTTGAGTGATAGAAGATTAAAATTGCGAGAATTAGTCGAGGCCACAGGGGTATCAAAGGGTACAATCATTTCAATTTTGCATGAAAAATTGGGGATGAAAAAAATATGAGCAAGATGGGTGCCGCGTTTGCTCACTGATGAAAACAAATGAACCCACGTGGTCACCTCTGAGGCTCTTTTAGCACGTATACGTCGTAATCCGGAAGATTTTTGGCGTCGACTCGTAACTATAGATGAAACATGGGTACACCACTACACTCCTGAAACCAAAGAACAGTCCAAATAAAGGATTACCGCAGGAGAACCAGCCCCAAAGAAGACAAAGACAGTAAAGTCAGCTGGCAAGATTATGGCCACGGTTTTCTGGGATGCGTATGGAATCATCTACATCAACTACTTGAAAAAGGGCCAGACGATCACTGGACAATATTATGCATCATAATTAGGTCAGCTAAAAGAAAAAAATCAGAGAAAAACGTCCTCACTTGAACAAAAAAAAAGCCTCTTTCTTCAAGGCAATGCTCGAGTTCACACGTCTGCAGTTTCGATGGCAAAAATTAACGATGTAAAATTCGAATTAATTGACCATCCACCATTTTCGCCTGATTCGGCTCCCAATGACTTTTTCTTATATCCTAACCTCAAAAAATGGCTTGCCGGACGATTCACGTCGAATGAAGAAGTCATCGCCGAAACAAATGCCTATTTTGAGGGTTTTCAGAAATCATATTTTCCTGATGGCTTAAAAAAACTGGAAGGCCGTTTAATAAAATGTATCGACCTTAAACGAGATTATGTTGAAAAATAAAAAAAATTACATACGCAAAACTTTTTTTTCCGTCATTTTTTAAAGACTTATTAACCTCCCCTCGTACTTTTGGCTGTTTCTAAATCTCAAAAAACCACTCAAAAAAAAAGTGATTCCATGACAAAACGACGGTTGAAAATAATGCAACGAGCATACTCAAGGCCAAAATCCTAAAAGTTAGTTCCAGGACTGTTTCGAGAAGTAAAAACATATCTGGACCATGTTATTCAATCAAGTGGGAATTATTTTGAAGGATTCCATTCGTCCGATAATGAAGAATAATGTTATCGTAGAGATATAAATGTAGACCCGATACTTTCCGAACAGACCTCGTAAACAAGTAAACAAGACCCTTCTACTCCAATTATTTTAACTTCTGATCCATGTCATCTGTGATGATATAACCCCAGACCGCTGAACCCTAATTGCCTTAACTTTCAACTACTGTAACCTGTGTCCATATAACCCAAGACCCTTGAATCCCAATTACCTTAACCCCCGATCCTTGTAACCTGTAATTTTAATTTTGGTGCGAAACTGTGTGTGCTAAAATAACATTTACATTTACATTAACGTCAATAAATGATATCTCTATTTAAAAAAAAAACCTTTAATTCAAAAAAATAATGTTTAAAGGGGAAGAGTGCTATTTTTTGATAGCCTGACTAATTTTTGAGAAAAAAAAATTTATTCACAATATTAGGTAACCTCGAATATATTAAATAATATATACTTTAGACATCTATACAGAATATCTCGAGAACTTTGACAGATGGATAAATGCTAAAACCAGATTCAGATTCAACGTATTGAATATCTTCGAAAATATATTATTGCGTTTTTTGGTTTTTTTTTTTAATGTCAGTCTGTTATTTTAGAATAATGTGATATGGTTTGTCACGAACTTTTTTGAGTTCAGATCAAACTAAAGCTTTCAAAATATATAAATTTTTATTTCGCTTCAAGCATATTTGAAATATGTTGATTTTACGAAATATTTTGAAGATCAATAAAATTTGTACAAATTATAAATGTTTTATACATCATATGTAGATTATACTATAAAGAACGTAGGATGTATAAGTACAATTTTTCGTGCCTAATGGAGAACATCAATATAGTGAATTTGTTTAAAATTGTAAAAAGTCTTACCCCATATCCAGTGACAGGACCAATTCCATGGCTCAGGTAAGGATCAGCATACTCTCGACCGTAACTACAAATTTAATTTATTTATATTACATTTTTAATATACAATAATATATACTTATAATTTATTGATAGCCTTGAAAAAACTAGATTATAAAATCTAGTGAAGCAAGAAATATATTTTTGTATATTTTATTCTCTTATATTTGAAGGATAAACAATGGTGTCTTGTGAAGGGGTAAAGGGGTACCTTATACTTTAATATACGACAGAGTGTTTATTGTCAACTTAAGATAATAAAATAATCTGATACTTAAATATTTTTTTTCAATATCTATAAATTAAATATCGTAATATAAGTTTTGAAAAAATCAATTTTTTACCGAATGAAATGTTTTTGGTGAATTATGACAGCATCACTTTCGCTTGAGTTTTCCGTTTGTCTAGTTGTCAACCTTTCTATTGAGTACGAGGTGTGTTCAAAAAATAACGAGAATTTTCGTTTTATGAAAAAAATATTTATTTATTCATTTACATTAATGTTGTCGCCTTCAAACTAGTCTCCTTCGGATACAATACACTTATGCCAACGCTTTTTCCAATCGTCGAAACACTTTTGAAACTCGATCTTTGTAATAGCTTTCAGCTCTTTTAGCGATTCGCTTTTAATGTCATCTATGCTTGTAAAACGACGGCCTTTTAATGTTCTCTTTATTTTTGGAAATAGAAAAAAGTCACATTGAGCCATATCTGGCGAATATGGAGGCTGAGGCGTCGTTACAGTTTCGTTTTTGGCCAAAAATTCACGAACAAGCAATGAAGTGTGAGCAGGCGAATTATCGTGGTGCAAAAGCCATGAATTGTTTTGCCACAAATCCGGGCGTTTTTTTCGGATTGCTTCACGCAAACGACGTTGAACTTGTAGGTAGTACTGCTTATTGATTGTTTGACCTTGTGGCAAGAATTCATAATGCACTATGCCATTAAAATCGAAGAACACAGTGAGCATAACCTTCACATTCGACCGCACTTGTCGAGCCTTTTTCGGTCTTGGCGATCCAGAATGCCGCCACTGGGACGATTGAGCCTTAGTTTCGACATCATATCCGTAAACCCATGTTTCGTCACCTGTCATAACACGTTTTAGTAGTTCTGCATCGTTATTGACTTCATTTAGCGACTCCTGAGCAACTTCCATTCGCCGCTGTTTTTGTTCGAAATTCAACAATTTTGGAACGAATTTTGCTGCCACACGTTTCATACCCAAAACATTCGAAAAAATTTGATGGCATAAGCCAACTGATATGCCAACATCATCAGCGACTTCTCTGATTGTGATTCGGCGATCGTTCATAATCATTTCTTTCACTTTTTTCACGTTTTCATCGGTTGTTGATGTGCTTGGGCGTCCAGGTCGTTCGTCATCTTCAACGTTTTCGTGGCCATCTTGGAAACGCTTATACCACTCATAAATCCTTGCTTTACTCATAGCAGACTCACTATATGCCTTTGTTAACATTTGACAAACTTTACTACACTTTATTTCATTTTTTACGCAAAATTTAATACAAATTCTTTGATCCATTTTTTTTCACAAACGAAAATCGCCGAGCTCGAAAAACACGTCTAACGTTAGCGGCTGCCACTTAAAAAGTAAGCAATGAATATTGCTGAAAATTTTATCGTACTTCAGGGGCATGTTTACCAACATAATAAAAAAAATTTTATACAAGCGGACTCTCCAAACCCGCGAAATTTAAAAATTCTCGTTACTTTTTGAACACACCTCGTATAGACGAGCCAAGCGGAAAACTCAACGTTTTTTAAAACTTCTATGCTATAATTCAACACGAATACGTTATAGGCTATTATTATTTTTTAAATGAAAATACCAAAAAGGAAAGTAAGCAAATGGAAAGAACGATTTATGAAAAAGATGGTTGCTGCGTTGAATAAACGATCAGAAAATGCTAAAAATCGATGAATCAAATTAAAGAGAAGAAAAGAAGCAACAAAAACAATTATAAATCATTTAAAGTAATAGAATTATTCATATAAATTATGACTGAACAAAAACCAGGCACTATCAATTTGGTAAAAAAGGTTTGAAGATAAACAGTTCAAAGGACTTATTTCAACTTTTTTGTATAAGAAACTATCAATGTCTGTACCATTAAATCTTGACGGGGATATGGTGATTCCTTGAGTGGGAAAGAGGTTTCTTTTAATAATACAAAAATCGCTTCAAGTACAAATATTTATCAGTGAACTTTCTCATAATTTATATTATTATTATTGACTAGAGTACATATACATAATTACAAAGAATAATCGTATATATTGTAACAGGCTACCGTTTAGTCGCAAATCCCGGGTAATTGTAGTTACGAATACGGCCAAACGGTGCTCTGTTAGTTGTATGCTTCAAGCACACTTACTCACCCTGCTCCGGTGTACGCAAGCGCCGTGTCTTCTCAGCGATCCAACTCAGGTGTGCGAACTCTCCGCAAGGGGCGCTGGTGCGCTAGCTTACTAGCGCTCTGTCGGCCACTGCAGGCACCTCGGTCGATGAACAGCTCTTCTATGCTTTCGTGATCCGTGTTGGATTATCGGCGAGTTCGAATCAAATGTAAACAATAACACAGACACCGGACAAAGGGTAGACGAAATAATAAGAACGTCTCTTATTGATCTCTAACTACTTTATTGAACCAAAACTAAACCTGTACAAGGGACGATTTGCCGAGAGTCTGAACGCACGCTATTTCGACACAGTTAGTGTATGTGTGTCGTCCACACTTTTCCGCTTTGAGGGTGGCGCGGCGTAATCAAACATTACCACCCCTCTCTCTGGGCGCCAATAGGTTGGCATGGCCCACTGTCTTTCACCCCTTCGCTTTCAAATATATTGGGGATCCGGAAGTCAAGTTTGCTGCGACATCCCTGACGCACTCAGCGAGTCGGAACCTTTTTGATCTAAGGCGGCGACCTCCTCGAAAGGAGTACCGATCTTTTCACGGTTCAACGCTCAGGGAGAGCGGAACTAAAGGCTTGACCCTCGGTTTGGGCGCGACGGGACTCTAGTTGCCCCAACGTCTACTGCGTCGGAAGCACGCAGCGTACAAATCTTACGAGATTTGCTTGACCTGGTACCACTACCCCGCAGAGGCCAACCCAAATTGGGATGCCAGAAGGGAGACTCAGCCAGGACAGCCAGAGGAAGATTCCTAAGACGATCGACCAACTAAGTCCCCCCTCCTGGGCTCGCGTTCGAAAAACATCCCACCCTGCGTACCTGTATTAAGGGATTTCTCCCACGACTCACAGGTCCATCGCTTCGACATACCGAGGTATGTCTCCCCATTGCGTTTCGGTCATCCCCGCTCACGCTGGTGGGTATCCGTCATTCGATAGGTTGTTGTTACTCCATTTTGACTCAAGGTCAGATCTCGCTTTCTAATGAATGGTATTATGGCTTGGCTGATACTGTTGTTTGCTCTTTCAATTTGGTTTTTGACTGTTGTGTCAGGGCGGGGTCTCGTCTAGCCGACAAGGCGACTCCCCAGGCAGTTTTCAGTATTCTTGCCTATTATGCCATGCATTCGGTTTAACATTCTGTCGTTAGGTCAAAACGGGGTTTATCGCGTTCAAGTATTCCAATTTCAGAAATTAATTCTGAAGTTGGTGTTCAAAAATTATCTTTCAAAAGTTTCAAGCTCTGTAAGCTTGTCCTCGTTCGAGATTTCAAAAATTAGTTTATTGTGGGAGTTTTTGTCCTTTGGTTAGGGACCTTGTAAGAGGCGGCGTCTTTCTGCCATAGTTCTTGACTATTTTTCTACGCTTTCTCTTTGTTATAGGTGCTCCCTCTCTGGGCTCTATGACTTTTCTAGCAAAGTCTTCAAAGGCTTTGTAGATTTTCCTGCTAGATACTAGGACTGTTTCCGGGCATGGCCATGTATGGCCCTCCTCTTCAACAGCTTCTGTTAATGGCTTCCTTAGTTCCCTTATATCTTCGCAGTTAAAGAGAATGTGACTTTCGCTTTCTATTTCCCCACAGCTACACAGTTGGTCTTCGCATAATCCTCTTTTATGGAGGTATGACTTAAAAGCACCGTGTCCAGTCATAAACTGGACTGTGTAGTGGTTGGGGTTTAGCCACCTCTTCTTTAATCTGTCTTTGATTACTGGGAAATAGCAGTACGTTCTCCTGCCATTTGTTGCTGACTGCCATCTCTCCTGCCATACCCTTTCGATTTCATCGTTGATGAAATGTATGGCTTTCGAGAGTTTTAGTCTGCCAGATCGAAGTTCTTCCGAATTAATTCGGATGCCGTGCATATTAATCGATTTCCCTTTCTTGACGCAGTACTTTGCAACTCTCGCGTCGAGCTCGAGAGCTATTGGTCGGGAGGCTGCTAGCACATGCGCCGCCTCATGAGAGATCGATTTGTAGGCTTTAAGTGTCCTGCAAAGAACTGATCGCTGCAATCTTTCTAACGCAGATTGTTGTTTGCTGTTGGTTCTTTGCCACCAGCCCGCAGCGGCATATGTAACTTTCGATACTAAGAAGCCATTATAAATCTTTTTCAAAGAATTGAATTTTAGGCCCCAGTTTGCTTTTGCAACTTTACTTAGCTCGAAATAGGTGTTATTACAGTCATGAATCACATTTCTAATATGTTCTTCTAGTTGGAAGCCCTTCGAGATTGTGATTCCTAGGTACTTGACTGTTTTATGCGTTCTAATGTTGTCTTTCCCAATTTTGACTGTAGGATTTCTATTCTCGCTTAGTTGGCCTTTTAGCCATATTAGTGCTGACTTTTCTACTGCTAATTTCATTTTGTCAGACTTGCACCAGTCCATCATTATATTAATAATTTCTTGGGCTTGTCTTTCAAAATCAGTGCGTGTCTTTGCCTTAATGATGGGAAGTACATCGTCTGCGTAGGCTAGTACCTCATATCCTGCTTCCCTGATTGCCCGGAGTGGTTTGTCAAAGACGACGTTCCAGCCTACCGGTCCAAATACTGAACCCTGAGGGCATCCCTTCGTTACTGTTTTCAGTGT